CAAAAAAGTACTCCAGAGTGTTGTTCAGCATGGGGGTGAGTAGAAAATGAAGGCTAATCATGTTTTGGGTGTACTATTCCTTTAAAGACATTTTAATTAGTGGAAAAAATGCAGGAGGGGAATATAAAAAAATAAAAAATCAATCAAAACTTTCGCAACCCCCACGCAGTACCTCCGTGGACCTCTAGGGGTCACGGACCCCCTGTTGAAGACCTCCGCTCTAGACTACCTGTATTACATCTTGCCTACTTCATGTTGCCTGTTGGGTTCTATCACGTAATCAGGCCTGTTAAGGAACATTTGGCTTATTTTATTACTTGATTCATATTTAAATCATCACGGTTTGATTCAGTTAAAATGCACTAATTCCCAACAAACATTCCCTTAAAAGCACCTGTGACGCACTTTCCCAGTAGATGAAGAAATTCTAATAAAAACATATTGAAACATTGCCCCGTATTTTACATTACATTCTGAATAAATACCTAAAACGGACTACTTTTTTATACATAATGGCCATATTTCTTTGTTAAGACTTGACGGTCTAAAGTCTGAGATCATTTATTGTAAAAAAAAAAAAAAACTTTGATTATAAACAGTTCAGGTAGTCAAAGAGAGACTCCGGTTCCATTCATTTTAGTACATTTAATGTAAAAAGTTCCAAACAAAAGGCTTTCACCAGATTGGTAAAAATAAGCACAGCTTAGAAATCGGTACTATAAATAGGTAATAGGAGATCAGTTCTAAATGCCAATTATGTTCATTTATTCTTAGAAAAACAATAGAAACTCCTACAGAAATCAGTCCTGCTTATTGAGTCAGCATATAAACATTGCACCTGCACATGATCATAGTCGCATAATTTTTATAGCTTTTCAAAGTCTTTTGATTGGGTTTTACCTTTTTTTTTTATTTCGAACGTGTTTTAATTTTAGCTTTGCTTTGATATAGATTAAAGGAACTGTTTGTAATGCAGCTCAGCGGTTTAAATTCCATATGTTTTCTACGGTGGCCCTGAAGTGCAAACTGCAACTACAAATCTAAAAGCGCAACTACATTGAGGAAATCGCAACTACATAAAGGAAAGTGCAACTACATTAAGAAAAACAAAACTACATAAAGCAAAGTGCAACTACATTAAGAAAAACAAAACTACATAAAGCAAAGCGCAACTACATTAAGGAAATGGCAACTACATAAAGCAAAGC